CCGATTCACCTCTCCGTCCACCCTCAGCTGTCAAGTTTCCGCTTCTACAAGCTCAACGCTCCGACCTCCAGCCTCCAGCATCCGACGCCCCACTCCCGCCACCTCTCGCCTCCAGCATCCGACAGGGAGCGGCGCGAAAGGTGCAAGCCGCGCGTCGCGCCGGAGCAGGAGGGAGCACCCGCCATGCGACTCTGACCAGCAAGGAGAACCACTTGACTGGGCGCCGACTCCCCTGCACACGTCGGAGCCCATACATAATGCTACGGGCAGGATGAACAGAAGCATTGGTGCCGACAGAACGCACCAGCTAGCCACGCGCTTGGGTTCTACTTTGTTGCGCGGTTCGCCGCTGGCAGACGGGCAGTAGTTGTGCCAGCGCCGACGCCAGCACCGACCCACACTGGAGGGAGATACATCCATGCCGCACCACGCCTGCGAGGCGGAACGACGTGCTTGAGGGCGGACGCGCCGCGCCGAGTCCGTGACAGGCTAAAGGGCTGCATTATTTGCAGAGTGTTCTCGACGCCACCTGTGGGGGGCACGAGTACCCCGTCAGACACGCTGTCTCCAATACCGGCGCAGACTTCAGCGCCGACTGCCTCCTTCGAACGCCAGGAACAAACCGATCCCGTCTTCGACTCCGACGCTTGACGAGAAACTTGGGTTGCCCTCCCGACACTCGTTCAGCTCCGATTCCTACCGCTACCGCTACCCCAACTCCGATTCCAGCTACAACCCCGTCACGGAATGCGTGGACTCTCCCCCCCGCTATCGCCACGGGGAGGCGGAGGGATCGACCAGGCGGATCGCTCGATCCAGCCAACGACGAGGAGCTCCAACCTGCTGCTCAGGCAATCCCTGTCCCACGACATCTATCCCGCATCATGGGAGAAGTGTTCTACCCCATGCACCGCGACATCTATCCCACATCCATGCGCCACGACATCTGTCCGGCATCATGGGATAAGTTTTCTGCACGAGTGTAGAACCACAGGAATTTCTAACCGCATCTTCTCCTAGTCTGCACTTCGACTTTCGTCTTGATAGTTTGGGGGGGAGCGCCCTCGGCAGACAATGTCAGCAAATGCCTGGGCAGGACTGTCCTACGAACGTGGCCGCATCCATGCCTGCACCCACGCCAGCGCCCAAATACGCCAGCGCGGACGCCAGTGCGCAGCCAGATCGTTGTTCAGCCGCAGCTTCGCCAGCCCCGATTCCAGGCCGCTCCCCAACGCCAGCCTCAACCTTCCAGCTCCGACTCCCAGATCGTTGCCTCGTCTCCGAAGCTAGCTCCGACCACCCTTCCAACGCCAGCTCGGGCTCCGACCCTAGCCACGACGAGCTCGCCAGTCCTAGCAGCAGCTCAGATTCCCCAGCTCCGACTTCCCTCCCGGCAGGGCGTCTGGGGTGAACTCAGCTTCCCCCGCCCAGGCACGCTTGACGCCAGCATCTACGTTTGCGCCCACGCAGGCACCGACATCAGCGCGAACACCAACGCCTCTGCCAACACCGACGCACGTATCAACCAACGCCTTCGCCAGCAGCGACACCACCACCGACGCCACAAAAATAGCCTGCGCCTGCGCCTGCGCCAGCACCGACGAGAGCATCTTCTGAGGGTGCCGCCCAACTCGCAGACTCCCATGCCGACCACCGACCAGTTCCACAGAAACCACAGAAACGCAGCACGACTGTGAAGCAGGAGTAACCGCATCACGATTGTGAAGCTGAAAAAAAGAGCTACACTTTGTTGGCGCCACTTTCGCTGGCCAGCTTCGCGACAGAATATTTGTTTGCACCATCTCCGACTCCAGCACATTCTTCGACTCTGACTCCGGCTCTGTCGCTATCTCTTCCAAATCTGTTGCAGCTCTGGCTTCGGCGCCGACTCCAGTTCCGACTCCAGCCCCGAGGCCAGATTGCTCCGACAGTCCTGACACCGACCACGAAGCGACTCCAGCGCCCGGACCGACTCCAATGATAGCCGTTCCATCGCCATTGCCACGATCACCATCACCAATTCAACCTGCATGAGTACAATGTCTCCCGAGGATGGGATGTCATCCCCCGAATCTCTCCTTCGATGGGGTGCTGTATGAGCGGACGTACGTTCCCGACACCGGCAACGAGCAACGACGCCGGCACCGACGCCAGCGCGGAGGATAGCACATGGAGGGTGATATATGGAGGGTGGCATGAGGTTTCAGGCGCTGGTCTTGCGACGTGGCGCCGCCCCTCGACTTCGCCATCCGCGGGTTCTGAGGACCAGGCTCGGCGAGCTCTGAGGGCATTCCGGTCTGTGGCGAGCCTGGCACGGAGGCTCGGCGCATTTGTTTCCTTCCCTTTCTCCCCCTTCCTGCTGTTTCCCGCTCTCTTGCATGTGCACGCTGAGTGTTTGTGTTGTTTTTCCGTATGCATGCTTTCTGGCCTCCTCGTGGCCGCGGTAAGCCAACCCCGTTTTGGTTTCGACGCCACGGGCTTGGTTTTTTCCGCCGCCCCCAGGGTTTCAAGGCCACCCCAGGGCGCTGCTGTGCCCTGCCGGAACAATACCTCTGACATGTTTTACTTAGTGACTGTGGCGATTTTCCCGTACAGGACGCTACTTCCACTGCGGTCGTCCCGCCCGTCTTCTTTGACTGCTCACCTGCACGTGGGGCTTGCTGGCCGTGATCGTGCTGCTTCCCTCCTTCGTCTGCCCCCTCTCTGTCTTCTTCGCTCTTCGTTTGTGCTGTCTTCCTCTCGCTCTCTTGTGTTTCCCGTTCCCGCCGTAGGGCTGTTATGATTAGGGGTAAACGTTCCTTCAGTGTGCATGCTCACCCGCCGCGGCTTTTCGTGGTCTCCCTTCCTCCCTCTTCTCCTCTCCAATGCCGTTGTGCGCTTTTGAATTTTACAGTGTAACCGTTTGGGCGGCTTGGGGACATCCGCACAGCGTCTTGCCCCTTCTCCTCCTCGCTCCTCCCCGTTGGGCCTACGCATGTTCTGGTCCATTCGACTTGCTGCGGGGGAGTGTTTGCGGCGGAAAAACAACGTTAATACAGAGGGTCCTCTTTTTCTTCTCTCGCCCGCCCTCACTTGGGCGCAGTGCGGGAGTGGCTACGGTGGTCTCCCCCTTTTGAGGGGGGGCACAGCCAGGCTGGTGCCCCGCGTGGGTGCCACTGGTGATGCCGCACACCGCTGACTTGAGTGCGTCCAGTGCACTCTACTGGTCAGAGCTCGTTCGGAAGGGAGTTTCACCTCGGCGAGCGTTCAGTTGTTATCTGCTCCGTAGTCGTGATTCGGCCGCGCTTGCAATGGGCACAAAAAAGGGCGCGAATGCTGTGTAATTCGCGAGGGATCGTGGCCTTGGGGGCGCAGCGTAATTTACAAAGGATTATGTGTCGGGAGCGCGAATCTTACGTATTTGTACGTGCCCCACGGCCCCGCAGGAATTCAGACAACGCAACTCGGAGGTGGTAGCCGGGCCCTTTTCGGCTCACCCCCCTCGCGTGGACTTCGACATTTTCCAATAGGAAGCAGGGAGCAGGACTGTGACCTTTGAAACTGGAAACTGGAACTGGCGCAGGGAGCAGCAAGCCTAAGCCTCGCAGCCTGATGGCCCCACAAGGACGCCGGCGGATTGTTTGGGGGGTGTCTGTGATTTTTTAAGAGCGACCAAGAAACCCCTTAGACGGCTCAGGAGGCCCCCGAGACGGCATACGGTTTTCACAGAAGGCAGAAGTGCGGTCCAAGATGGCTTCAAGACGGCCCGACAGGCCCCCACGATGACCCGAGAGGGCCCCGAGAGGAGCCCAAGAGAGCCTCAAGAGGCAACCGTTGTCGATTCTCGTACGGTGTTTGATGATTTGCACAGTTCTCCTATTTCCTGACCTCCGACCGCCCAAGACGGCCCGAGGAGCCTTCCGGATCGCGCCAGAACGGCCCAAGAGGCCCCTAAAAAGGCCCCAGGACGGCCCTAGAGGCCCGAGAGGCCGCCAAGACCGCCCCAGAGGCCCCCGACACGGGTCAGGAGGGTCCCAAAACGGCCTCTGAGGCCCCAAGACGATCCAAGAGGCTTCCAAGAGGGCCCCCAGGAAGGCCCACGAGGGCCCCAAGCTGACCCCAAGAGAGCACCAAGAGGCAGAATCGCTGATGTTCTCAAACAGTGTCTGAAGGGTTTGGGCGTTGTGTAATTCGCCAGGCTCTTAACAACAAAAAAGGCTCCCAAAACGGACGGTGTCATTAGCCCTCTCGGGCAAGTTCCCCATAGCGCTGTATCCGTGTCCGTACGCGGCCCGGGCTTGAGGGGGCGGGGGCTCTCCTCGAGGCTCTCGGGCGTTGTCGTGGGATTTCCCGTGGTTTCCGGCCTCGGGATGCCTTCTGGTGGCGGCGCCTCGCCGAGAGCATTCCAGGGGTGCCCGAATCGTCCCGAACGGCCGCTGGAGCGCCGAGCTAGAGCTATATCACTCGAACGCCCCGGGGAGCGCGAGGGGGGAGGGGGGCAACGCCCTCGGGAGCAGTTCGGGTTGCCTTGGGAGCGCCGAGGATGGTTCCTGCATGCTGGGCGACCTTGGGGACGAGGGGGCGGGCGGGCGCGAAACCCCTGGAGACCGAAGTCCAATACGTTCTGCACCTCGAGCGTACTGCATCGGGGGTGGCGTCCACCAGCTGCGTCCTTTTCAGCTGAACGTTCCCTCGTGTGTGATCTGTCGCTCCGAAAAGGCATTGACGCGTTCAACATGTTGCCTGCTTGCTCATCGCCAATTGGGTGTCCTTGTCACTGGGGCAAGATCGGATCTTACGAGGGCCTTGTCTGGTTAAGATGCGAGGCCACAAGACCTGCGTACTAAGTTGAATATCGTCTAAGCGTAGCTCGAGCGAGTTTCACGCAAGCTCGCCTCCGTAGCTTTCACCGTGGCAGGCCTTGGGCTCCAGCTCCGCCGATGCAAGGCTTCTTATACCACGCTGCTCAGGGCGACAGGTTGCTCAAGGAGGCAGGGGGTCATTCCGCGCTGACCCGCCAGGAGCGATACGGCGGCGGGTACGGCGGGTACGGCGGCAGAAATGGCAACAGAGGAGGCGCCCCTCGCGTTCCTTGCTGGGAGGGCAGGGGGAAGGTGGGTGAGAGGCAGGCCACACTTCCGACACAGTTCCAACTTGAGGCTTAGCCCTTGGATCCTAATTGTCCGCATCCGTCACTCCTGCACTGCGCACTCAGAATCGGCCAGCGAGAGAGACGGTGGCAAGGATGCCAGAATTCAGGAGGGAAAAACACAGACACAATTAATCGTCAATCCCCAGAAAATATAGGGGACTCCTGTTATTTGTGTGTATTTGTTTGTGTGTCCCAGGGCCCCTTCATGATTAACGGCTTCGGCGGTAATCTTGACTTGGTGAAGTCCCCGGGCTGCCAGGGAGTCCCTGGCGGCCCCAGGGTTCAGCGCTGACGGGGTTCCGCCAGTCTCCAATCCCCTCTGTCTGAACCCCGCTTCCCTCCCTCCCTCCGCTGACCGGAACGCTCTGGAACTGCCGCGGCGTCCGATACATTTTCCAGAACCGCGGGATCTCAGAGGTCCCTGATCCACAGTCAACAATTATAGTAAGGACGCAGCTCTTTGTAATAAGGCTACCCTGGCATCCTGGGCCTTTCCTCTGTTCCAAGATAATAGGGCGCAAGATGCAGATGAATGGCCCTGTGCCCCCCGTTGGCACTCGGTTCGTGGTGCGAGCGGCACGTACACGAGCCGGCGCACCGCGAACCAGAGCGCGGGGCCAACAGAGCCGGCGCACCCTGGCGGGGGAGACCCAGCGACGCCGGGGCACTGAAGAGAGGGGGGCCTTCTCTGACAGACGCGCACAGCGGGTGGTGCCTACTGCGACAGGCTCTGGGCGCGTCTCGACGACGGCAAGCAGGTCAAGAGGAGGCTTCGCAGCCTCGGTCGGAGGAGGGACAGTACATGGACAATAGATTCGAACCCAATGCAGACTTGGAGGAATACTTACCCCCCCCCGCTCCCCCATATCAGTGATGAACTCGGTAACGGTATGGGTGGTGATTTGGGGGTTCGAATAGTCTTGTCCACTCAAGCCCCCTTGCTTGCCACATCCTCCAATATTAAGTTGGGCGTTCGGGGGTGCCACCTTGCGCCGCAGGATTCGAGTCTAATGCCACTGTGCGGGAGAGGCGAGACCACCACCACACCAGGGGGGCCAACTCCAGAGAGGAGGTCCACGATGCCTCCCCGAGCCGGGGACAGTTCGAGGGCGAAGAACGGCATCACATACACTACGGGACTAGAACATATACACCACCACTACCCCCACCTCCCTCGCCCCCTCCCTCCCCAAGGAAGAGGAGAGGAAGAGGAGGGAGGAGGAATGGAGGTGGTAGTGGTGTATACTCCTGGCACCCGCGTACACTCATCCGCCATCGGGGACCGGGACCCCCGGCCCAGGGCGGCTGGACAGTTTCTACCCTCAGGGTGGCAGGTGGGGGTATAGATTTGCCAGCCGCACGGGGACGGGGGTCCTCCTCCTCCTCCTCCTCCTCCTCCTCCTCCTCCTCCTCCTCCTCGGCGGACAAGCTTCTGCTACACCGCGCGGCAGCTTCTGCTACACCGCGCGGGTGGCCCCGGGCGCCAGGGGAGCAAGAAGCGCGCCCTCCTCTCGGGGACGGGGGTCCCGGGCACGCCGAAGCGAACCAGAGGCAGCAATCTTGCACTCAAGCAGTCAACCAGAGGGAGTCCAGCAACACATGACGATAAGCGCGCCAGCGCTGCCATCAATCAGAGCTTACTCTGCGACACTGTCCCCGATGGGGGACAAGCTTCGGTTACGCCGCGCGGGTGGCCCCAGGCGCCAGGGGCGCAAGGAGCTTGCCCTCCTCCTGGACAGCTCGGCGGCCTCGGCGGCGGGTCCAGCGGGCGCCGGCGATGCGCGCGGGCCCGCCTGCGGCACCCACCCCTGGCAGGGCCCTTGTCTCTAGGACCTCCCCGATGTCTGGAGGCCGGACGGGGTACGGTGCCGATCGTAGAAATGGCGATGCGATCTGCGATGCGTGACATCGCCAGATTCCCTTAACATGCAATTGACACCACACCCCTTTATACCATACCCCTTTCCTTCCTCCAGAAGATGGGATCGAAGCAGGTGGGGTCAAAGGATCGCACCGCATCGCCGATGCATCGGCGGTGCGGCTCGATTTGAAGCCCGAGTTTCTCCACGCTGGCGTCGCCTATGGCACCGCCGACGTCGCCGACGCATCGTCGATGCATCGGCGATGCGGCACGATCCTCCGGCCCCGCTCGGACCCCATCTGGGAGGCCTCTACCCAGACTCTACTCTCGGATTACGGGTAGCGTCGGATGCATGGATGGAAGGCCGACAGGAGCCCGATGACCCACCACGCCCAGGAGCGCGCGCATCCGCCGTCGAGGGGCCTGTCGCCGATGGATCGGCGATGCATCGCTATCCCAGGTCGACGCCCCCTCCCCACCCCTGAGCCAGTCCCGGCCTGCTGCCGAAACCGAGGGCAGGGATGGGCAACCCTCCCAGGTGTACCCTCGCAACCTTGCCTCTCCGGCCCATCCTCCACCACCACTCGACGGCCAGCCCCGCTCGAAGAGCCTCCTAGGGACAGGAGGAGGAGGAGGAGGAGGAGGAGGAGGAGGAGGAGGAGGAGGAGGGAGGAGGGAGAAGGAGGGAGGAGGAGGGAGGAGGAGGAGGGAGGAGGAGGAGGAAGAGGGAGGAGGAGGGAGGAGGAGGAGGAGGAGGAGGAGGAGGAGGAGGAGGGCCTCCTCACGCAGCCCTGCTGCCAGGCCTGACCACGCGGGAGCGGGCCGAGAGGCCCTCGCCGCAGCGCCGCGGCGGGGCCGGCCTCGGCCACGGGGGGCCCGGGCGCGCCCCTCCCAGGCGACAGCTACGACACCAGGGGCGGCTACGACGGCTACGACGCCGACCGCTCCTCTGTTCGCAGGAGCCCGCCTCCTCCCCGCCGCGTCTCTCCTCCCGCCTCCTGGCCTTCCCCCTCGTCTCGCCCCCCTCTCTTCTCGTCTCTTCTCTTCTCGTCTCTTCTCTTCTCTTCTCCCTGTTCTTATCCGCCCTGTTTTCTTCGTCTCTCATCCCCCCATCCCTTCATAATCCCCTCCTGTTGATCGTCCTCCCTCCTCCCTCATCGGGCCGCCGTGTGAGACCTGGTCTGCCTCTCCATGGGCAAAAGGCCAAGGCCCCCCGCCACTTCGGACGGATCAATTTTGGGGAAAGACGGCAGTTACTGAGCATCGGATGGAACAGCTGCGGGTGGGCAATGCGCTATACCACATTATGCTGGAGCTTTTCGCGGCACATATTCAGGCTGGGACGTATGTTGGCTTGAGCACCCCCAGCCGTGTGAATGGAGGCTCCAAGCCGTCACTTCGTTTACCTGCCATCCGATGCGTGCTCTCCAGTCGTCCCCAGCAGTCTCGACGTCCGACATTGATCAGTGTGAACATGGTCAGACGTCAAGGGCCCCCACTCGGATCGTTGCACTTAGACTGCCAGGGCTGCACGCCGCCCTGCTTCCGACCCTTGGAAACGGCAGATGTTCGCACGGTAGGGACGGACACGAAACGCTTCTTGGGTATGATAGGGATCGGAGGGAGTGGCGCACAGCCAAAAAGAAGACGTATCCCGCCGGCCTGTTCAAGTGTATCGCTGCTGCCACCGCTGATGCACTGCGTACCACGCGGGAAGGGGAAGCTGATAGTATTGAGCCCATTGTTCCGGAGGACATGGGGGATGATGGTAAAGTACGTGATGGACTACTACGCTTCCTTTTCTTTTGGGATCCCTAGTCTTGCACAGACGAGGGATGGGCTCCCGACTTTGTTTCTCGGCGCACACGTCGTGTCCGACACGACCCCGAGTTAGACCGCTTTCGACCTCTACATGCCCCCCCGACATCGGAGCAGGTTACTTCGTCCACATCACAGGTTCACGACGACATGGCGGAGGCTAGACCCACCAGAGGCTGATGAGGAGCAGGAGTATGTAGATGCACGTGCTTTTCTTGGTGACTCGCAGGGGGCATATGACCCCCCCTTGCCGCCCGTCCCTGTACCGCTAGCACCCGAAGTCTTGGAGCGCATCGCGCAAAACCGCGCGCAGGCACGTGTCAGAAGAGCTGCTAAACTCCAGGAAGCGAGACAGGCTCACTTGCGCGAGGTAGCCCCGTGGACTTATGATTTTAATTTTGGCAGAGGCAATCTCGGATAAGGTGCTACCTGCCAATTATCAAGAGAGGTTGGGGGTTGTAGTTAAGTTATTGCGGGGGGTGGTGGGGTGGAGGTTCAGAACAGTCAATTGTTGTCTCTTGCCATCCAGCCGCTCGCAGCTGCTTTCTCTGTGCTGTTCCCCCGCGCCCCCCCTGCCTTGTGATGTCGATGTCCTTCCTTCCACGTCGACGGCGTGGCGATGTAGGACCGATGCCATTAGTCTGTCTATGCTGGTGACGCTCTCCTTGATTGAGTTACGCCAGAGATTCCTTTTTGGCCACACCGCTTTTCCGTGTGTTCAGTGCGCGATGGCAGTGACTGAACTGTTGGTGCTTAGTGGCGACGGTGGCCATAGGCCGAGCGTGCGCATATCTTGCGCTCCCGGGGGCCCATCACCTGCACAAGCCCACGCCACTGCTGTCAGGCCCCTCGCAGGCCATTTCACTTGCTCCCCTACTTGATATGCCTCTTTTTGCCTTTTCCCTTCTCTGGCAGAGTTGCATTGAGCCGCGTGCGCTGTATGACTTGATGGGCGGGGGGTGTTATGGGTATGGTCGGGCGGGGCATTTACACCTTGGCGCCCGTGCTGCTCGATGCCGCGCGTTTCTGCCAGCAGCTAGTGCGCGCCGCACTAAGCTGACCGCCTCCTCGGCGGATCAGAGCGCAATCCAAAAATCTTCATTTATCCCGATCCCCCGTTCTCCCCCACCCGCAACCTTCCTCATCCTGGCTCCCTCTACCATTCGTATTCGGCAGCCTCTCAGACGTGCAAGTCTGCGCCATCGCCCCGTCATGTGGCACGACCTCAGCCACATGCAGGTAGCTCCTCATATTTTTTCGATCTTCATTCGCATCATCCCTATCTCGTTGCCTCCCATCATCATTACGGTCCGCCCCTTTTATTACGGTCTACGCTGCTGTTTTTCATCGTCCTCCTCGCTTATCCTGCTCTTCTCTGTCTCTTCCCTCCCCGCAACGTATTTCTCTCTCTCTCTCTCTCTCGTTTTCGTTCTCTCTCTCTCTCTCTCTCTCTCGTTCTGTGTTTATTTTTTTCGTTTTCTTCTCTCTCTCTCTCTCTATGTGTCTATATACACACATGTATATATATATATATATACATATATATATATATTATATATATATATATATATATATATATATATATATACACATAACGGCGCACCGGGTCCGGGGGCCCGGGGCCGGGACCTTGACCACAAATGTGGGCTCCGGGGGGCCCGGAGGCTCGTCGGGGCTTGCCGGAGGCCTCCCCGGTCAGACAAGACGGCCCCAGGAGCGCCCAAGACGGCCCAAGAAACTTCCAAGAGGCCTCCAAGAGGGCTCCGAGATGCTGAAGATGGCCTCCAGACGTCCAAGGACGCCCCCAAGAGGCCCCAAGAAGCCTCCAACATGCGTCCCAAGAGGGCCCCTAGATGCAAACATTGGCCCATTCCCTTCGTAAAACGTACATTTTCAACAAAGTTCTCTTTTGGGCTTTCCGACGTTACAGGACGGCCCAAGAGGCGCCCAAGACCGCCCAAAGACGGCCCAAGAAGCTTCCAAGAGGGCCCCAGGACAGCCCAAGAGGGCCCCAAGACGGCCCAAGAGGCGCCCAAGATGGCCCAAGAGGGCCCCAAGACGGGCCCAAGAGGGGGCCCAGAGGGGGACCACGAACCGCAAGCTCGAGCCTTAAGAGGCCGCCAGGAGGCCCCCAGGAGGCCCCTCAAGAGGCCCCAGGAGACCCCAGACGTCCAAGGACGCCCCCAAGAGGCCCCAAGAAGCCTCCAACATGCGTCCCAAGAGGGCCCCTAGACGCAAAAATTGACCCATTCCCTCGTAAAACGTACATTTTCAACTAAGTCGCCTTTTGGGCTTTCCGACGTTACAGGACGGCCCAAGAGACGCCCAAGACCGCCCCAAGACGGCCCAAGAAGCTTCCAAGAGGGCCCCAGGACAGCCCAAGAGGGCCCCAAGACGGCCCAAGAGGCGCACAAGATGGCCCAAGAGGGCCCCAAGACGGGCCCAAGAGGGGGGCCCCCAAGACGCTCCAAGAAGCCTCCAAGGACGCCCCCAAAACGCCCCAAGAAGCCTCCAACATGCGTCCCAAGAGGGCCTCTAGACGCACAATGTGGCCCATTCCCTTTGTAAAACGTACATTTTTCACAAAGTTGCCTTTTGGGCTTTCCGACGTTACAGGACGGCCCAAGAGGCGCCCAAGACCGCCCCAAGACGGCCCAAGAAGCTTCCAAGAGGGCCCCAGGACAGCCCAAGAGGGCCCCAAGACGGCCCAAGAGGCGCCCAAGATGGCCCAAGAGGGCCCCAAGACGGGCCTAAGAGGGGGCCCATATGGGGACCACGAACCGCAAGCTCGAGCCTTCCGCCCCAAGAGGCCGCCAGGAGGCCCCCAGGAGGCCCCTCAAGAGGCCCCAGGAGACCCCCAAGAGGCCCAAAGGATGCCCCGAGAAGCCCCAAATCGGCCCCCAGAATGCTTCGAACCTGCTTCCAGGAGGTCCCCGACAGGTTCAGAGGCTCCTGAGAAGCTACGTCAAACTCCCAGCGAGCGGCCGGACGAGGCCCCCCCAAAAATCCCAAGAGGGTTCCAGTATTCGTATCCTGGGTGACGATCCTAGCTAGAACCTGAGCGCGCGCGAAGCGCGCGCGTGGTTCTAGTATATATATATATATATATATATATATATATATAATAATATAAATATATATATATATATATAGAGATCTGCGCCTCGTTCTCGCTCTCTCTCTCTCTCCCTCTCGCTCCCGCTCTCTCTCCATCTCTCTTGCCGTTCTCTCGGCACGTGTGTGTATGTATGTGTGTGTGTGTGTGTGTGTCTCTGTGTGTGTGTGTGTGTGTGGGCCACTTGCGCCCTCCCTCTCGGTACCCGTTTCTTTTCATCCCTCGATCTTTCTCCCCCTCTCTCTCTCTCATCGAGGGGCAGCAGGCCAGCCTCGAGTTCAGCCAGACCGTTCGCCGTCGTGCAGCTGGACCTGCTTCTCACCCACCAGCAGGACGCAGCACCATGGACGTCCAAGACCACGACCCCATCGAGGAGGAGGAGGACTGCTTGCAGTACCGCCAGGAGACCGCAGACCAGGAGGACTGCGATGGGTACCACCAGCGCATCGAGGGGCAACAGGACAGCATCGGCTACGGCCAGACCGCTCGTCGTCATGCAGCTGGATTTGGTGAAACTGCCCCAGGTGACACGCACTGCTCACCTCCTCTGCCAGCTGGCACTCTGGAGGCAAAGGGTACCGATCACCTGGGGAGTCAGAACCAAGCGCCGCCAAGCCCAGAGGCAGAGGAGCAACGAGATATGGGCCTGCCCCCACCAGGCCCCTGGAATGATGACCAACACCAGCGGGAGCGGGAAGACTACGTGGCCATGAGAGACGACCTGGAGTACTGGGCGGCCATCTGGATGGATAACTTGGTGCAGCTCCCCACGGGCAACAGCAACTGGATGCAGATCTGTGTGCCGCTCCTGGAGACCATCTTGGGAGGCGGAGGCAACAATGGCATGGTGAGACTGCTCAGGCGTAGGTACCAGCAGGCCGGCCTCAACCACATCATCAGGGACCTCTGCGAGCGAGCATGGAGACATGCAGAACCACGACGCCGAGGCTTTCTCCAAGGACTTACGCGAGAGGAGCCGACGAGGAGGCACGAATTGGAAATGATGCATTGGAGGGAGCTCGCAAACCTGCGGAGGTTTATGCGAGAAGTTATAGGCGAACGAGCACCAGAAGGAGCAGCGCGAAGACAACTACATGATGCTCCAGGCACAGGCAGTGGCCAGAGTAGCCGCCGAGAGCTGCAGGTCCGCACCCACAGTGGCCACCAGACGCAGCAGCAGATCAACACAAGACGGCAGCTTGCGCAGCAGCTCAACCAGCCTGACCCAGGCAGGCTGAACGAAGAGGGTGCAGCCAAGGACCAGCAGCAGGCCCTCCTCGCAGACCTGCACGCGATCGCAGAGGGCGCCCTCGTGGACCCAGGGACAATCAGCAGGGTAGCAGAGGAGGTAAAGAGCATGGCCAAGCTACTCACAAAGGCGGTGAAGAAGGCGTGCATCCACTGGGTGCACGACGCCACGGCAGGCAGTGCGAAGATGGCCCACGCCTACACCAAGGCAGCGGAGCGCAGCCATCTGGAGGATATCCTAGAGCACGAGGGCCAGGTCATCAACCACCCGCAGCAGCTAGTGGACTTGCGCAAAGAAGCATGGCAACGCAGGTGGACACGAGATGCACAGAAGGCCGAGAGGATCCAAGAGGCGCTGGCCAAGCTGAGGCAGGCTGCCTTGGCCCAAGAGAATGCCCTCGAGCCCATCAGCAAGGACATCATAGGCTCCATCATCCAGCACCTGAAGCGCAATGCTGGCCAAGGAGCGGACTGGTGGAGGGCTCCAGAGCTCAAGGCCATGGGCGCCCAGGGGCTGGAAGACTTCGTGCAGTGCCTGACCAGCTGTGAGCAACGGGCAGCGTGGCCGTGGCAATTCTACTTGGTGCTGGAGCTGCTGCTGGGTAAGAAGCCAGGAATCGGCGGAGAGCGCCCCATCGGCCTCATGCCCATGCCGTACCGCATCTGGAGCGCAGCCAGGAGGCCCATAGTAGCCACCTGGAGCAAGGCAGCGGCGGGCTTCTGGGATACGGCAGCAGCTGGCTCCTCAGCGCTACGAGTGGCAATGCGCAGGCTGATGAGGGCAGAAGCCGCCGCGGAGATGGGCTTTCATGCAGCAGGAGTGTTCTACGACGCGGCAAACTTCTACGACAACATAGGCCTCGACCAGCTGATCGAGAAGGCCAGCGCCCTCCAGTGCCCGTTGCTGCCGCTGGCAATGGCCGTGCAGATGTACCTTGCGCCCAGGGCCATCATGGCCCACAGCCTCTTCTCGGACATCTTCGAGCCTGCCAACAGCATGGTAGCTGGCTGTGGCCGAGCGGTAGACCTCACCAGACCGCTTTTGCATGGCATCTTGGACGCAGCGCACAGGCACCACATCTTCGTCGTCATGCAGCAGTACCTGGACGACTTGGCCCTGCAGGTAGAGGGTGCGGGGCGGCAGGTCATTGACCAGATCAAGCACGTGGCAGCGCTGGTGCACGATGGATCCAAGCAGCTCGCGATACCCATCTCTGTCAAGACGGCAGTGGTGGCCTCGGACAAGGACCTCCAGGCAGAAGTCGCCAGCATCCTGGACAGCCTGGGCACCCCCAACAAGCAACCAGGTGTAGTGCGCGACCTCGGCGTGGACACCAGCCTTGGCAAGCAGCTGCGGCGACCCACCCATGCCGCGCGCCAGGCCAAGGCCAAGCAGAGGGTGGCCAAGCTCAGGGACCTAGCGAAGACGGACGCCAGAGGCGCGGCAAAGGTCTATTCAGCAGGAGCCTTCTGCCAGCAGGCTTGGGACTTACCAGCGCGCGGCATCACGCCCACGGAGGCGAAGTTGGTCAGGGCTACGGAGGCAGCGCTCCTCACAGGCGGACACAAGGCTGGACGCTGCACGTCCACCATCCTCCTGATCCAGAGGGGTATGCAAGAGGCAGTAACCCGAGCCATCGGCGACCAGATCAAGCAGTTCTGGCTCGCCGTGGTCGACCACCCGACGGAGCTCAAGAGGCACCGGAGAGGCTGGCTCCTGCTCTACGCCAAGCTGGGCGCCCTGGAACCCAACCGCAGGTGGCAGCAGGTCAAGGGGCCTATGGCAGGGGTCATCGCGCAGTTGCTTGGGTTAGGCTGGATACCGCGACGCCTGGGCAGCTGGATCAGCCCAACAGGTGACGAGTGGGCCTACAAGCCAGATGACATCCCTCACTTCGGCGCGCTCCTGCATGAAGTCCAGCAGAGCGCGCAGCAGCAGCTCTGGCGGCAGGCAGCTGGCCATCGCAGTGGAGAAGGACTTCAGGCTGGAGGCGACCTCTATCAGCTGCAGCGCCACCTGAGGAGGAGGAGGAGACGTAAAGGACAGCATGCAGAGGCAGCCATGCTGGAGACCATAGCGGCGGCGGGCATCTGGACCAGGGAGCGTCGCAGGGCGACCAACCTCGACCAAGAAGGCGATGACACCTGCGCGAGATGCGGCGAGGCGATAGAGACAGAGGAACACCGCTACTACGCATGCCCTGCCAACGCAGAGATAGGGCACAGCAATGACACCGACCTGGCGAAGAAGGCGAAGGACGCGCTGGACCAGCGGCAGGACCTGCATTTCTGGCTCCGAGGCATCCCGCCAGCGGCCTGGGCAGCCAAGGCCGGCCCAGACGAGGACGCGGCGAAGGCGGCGCAGATCTTCTGCACCAGCGAAGAGGCTCAGGCTGCAGCCCAGTCAGGGCACAAGGTTCGAGCAGACTATGTCTTCACGGACGGCTCAGGTGGTGCAGGGGAGACGGCCAAGGACCCCCGCCTCAGACGCTGCGGCTGGGCAGTGGTGGCTTTCAGGTTCGACGAACAAGGACGTCCGCAGGAAGTGGCTGCCTGGTGCGGCGCAATCAGGGCACCGCGCACGGTGCCACGGGCAGAGCTCACCGCCATGAGCAAAGCCATCGGGCACACCACGGCGGCGACAGCCAGGGGGCTCAACATAGTCAGCGATTGCAAATACGCCCTGGACGCACTCAAGCAGATCCAGGACCCTGAGGATCTGGACTACAGGAGCACGAACTACGACCTCTGGCTCCAGACGAAGCAGCAGCTGCAGAACAGCACGGACACCATCATGGGCCACCACATCCCGAGCCACCTGATTGAGCACCCAGCCGAGCTGGAGAGGTGGAATGGTCCCACCTGGTGGGTCATAGGAAACGAGATGGCAGACAAGTACGCAGGCTGGGGAGCGGAGCACGGAGCACTGGATCCAGCCATCATGACCGCGCAAGAAACCACCGCAACCGGAAGTTATGGATGTTTCTTTAAAATGATTTTTTGTTGGTTGTTCTGTTGTCGCGGTTATTGTTGGCACGTGCTTCGATTTCACATGTATCGCGTTCTCGTGGGGTTGCTTCATTGCCACTTGCAGAGCGTCTCCCGCAGACCTTCCCTTCGACGTGCTGGCGCGAGACCGAGTGGCGTGTCTGCGCGGCGCGGCCTGTTTAACACGACGCGCGTGCGCGCAGTTCAGAGGAGTTTACATTCGTAGCCGCCTGATTGTTGCGGCACCGCGCCATATTTTTTTGCGCGGCGCGTAACGCTCTTTTCGGATGCCATTTGCGCGTGTTTTGCATGGGCGGATCGCCTTGGCGCAGCGATGCTTCGCGCGGCGTGGTTCGGCCGCTTTTGCGCGATGATGCGCCCGTGTGCGTGTGTGTTGTCAGAGCGGCTCTGCGTGACGGCGTGTCCAGTAGCGATTACCATGCCGTTAAGTTTGTTCCTCGTGGGCACGCGGGCCCCCCGCCCCTTTTCCCTTCTTCGCGGCACGCCAAATTGTTGGAGTGTCTATAAGTTTGTTTCGTTGGGCGCTTGCGCATGTGATTTTTTGTGAGCATTGTTCATTTGTTGTCCACTTTTCGCGCGACCTCTTCTGGTTGCTTTCCCCCTCGTCCATTCGCATTATGTTTTGATGGTGTTTTATTGCGCACGTCTCAAAGTGGAGGGCCCGGTCCGCTCGTGGAGGGCGCGACATGGTTGACAAATCATGCGCGTCGCGCGGTTGTGGTAGAAACCACGGCGCGTGCGTCATGCCGATCTGTTCGCGGCAAGTCCCGCGCGCCGCGACCAACATGTGGTATGTCATGGGTTACTGTCGGGTTGTCATGGGGGCCTCCTGGGACACTCTTGAGTCGTATATGGGGCTACCTGGGACATTAGGGGCCCTCTTGGGCCGTCGTGAGTTGCCTGGGGGGTATCTTGGTGCCGTCTTGGGCCGCGTTCGCCTCCATGCTGGTTTTCTTGCTTTGCCTGGGTTGGGTCTTCAGTTACCCCCAACCCCACTAGGTCTGGTACCAGACCTCCCTTCCACCTCCAACAGGTCTGGTGGGATGCCCCCCTTCCACGTCGACCAGACCTCCCAGCGGGCCCTCCTCCGGCGAGGTGGAGGGGGCCTCCACCAGACTTCCTGTGGTTCTCCTGGAGACCTCCCTCTGATCCCCCCGAGGGCTTGGGGAGGCCTTCCGGAGGCTTCCCTTGGTTTCCACAAGGTGTGGCGAGAGGCTTCCCACGGCCCCTGGGAGCACCAGGCGAGGCCTCCCCCAGGCTTCCGGGACGACCAGGGGAGGTCTCTGGGAGGCTTCCCCTGGTTCACCTGGAAGCCTCCGATGAGAGTTCCCGCAGGGGGGAGGTCTCCTGTGGGAGGCTTTCGGGAGGACCAGGGGAAGCTTCCAGGAGACCTCACCTGGTCCTCCACCAAGTTTCCCCCCAGCGCCCCGGGAGGACCAGGGGAGGTTTCCAGGGGGCCTCCCCTGGTCTCCCCGGAAGTTTCCCCTTGGAGGGAGCCCTGCCAGATTTCGAGGTCTGGGGGAGGCTCCCGGACCCTGGTCCTCGGGGAGGATTCCCAGCAGGCTTGCAAGGACCAGAAAAAGCTTCTGGGAGACCTCCCAGCCCCCTTCTGGAAGTTTGCGGGGGGCCCCCAAGAGGACCAGGGGAGGTCCCCCGGCGGTCCCCCCCCAGATTCCAGGAGGTCGTCAGGACACCGCTAGGAGGCTTACTCTTCGGGGCCCTGAGGCCAGTGGATCACCGGATGCAGTGCAGCTACGGTGGCGACGGCAGCAGAGTCGCGTTCAGCCTCGGCGAAACATTTGCCGCGCGTTTCCAAGCTGGGTGGCTGGTTGGGGGCCTCCGACGGCCACGCCGGGACGTTTGAACTTTGGGTCTTTCCGCTCCAAGAAAACATGGTGGACGTAAGGAAACTTCTGGTTCCTTAATAAATGCCCCCCGGGGGGCCTCGATGGTCCCAAAGTGCGAGACATCTGTCGATCCACCAAATTTAATAAGGAATTCCCGGGGTCCCAAGTAAGGTCCTTACTTGGGTGCCTGGCGGTCCCAGAATTCAGGGCCTTACTTGGGTCCTCGGCGGTCACAGGTCCCACAGGTTCCACAGGTCCCACGTGTCCCAGATGTCCCACAGGTCCCATAGGTCCCACGGGTCCCGCAGGTCTCGAAGGTCTCGCCGGTCCCGCAGGTCCCGCAGGTCCCGCAGGTCCCACAGGCCGCACAGGTGCCACAGGTGCCACAGGTCCCGGAGGTCCCGCAGGTCCCGCAGGTCCCACAGGTCCCACAGGTCCCTCAGGCCCAACAGATCCCACCGGTCCCAAGGTCTTGCAGGTGTCACAGGTCCCGCAGGTCCCACAGGTCCCACAGGTCCTACAGGTCTTACAGGTCCCACAGGACCCACAAGTCGCAAAGAAGGTGCCAAAGGTCCCACAGGTCTCGCAGGTCCTACAGGTCCCACGCGTCCCACAGGTCCCAAGGGTCCCACAGGCCTCGCGGGCCCCACAGGTCCCACAGGCCCCACAGGTCCCACATGTTTCACATGTCCCATAGGTTCCACAGGTTCCGCAGGTCCCGCGTGTCGAGGGGTTAGGCCACGGAGCACCCCAGCGCGGTGAGGGGTTAGACCGCAGCAGCCCCCAGCGTGGCGAGGGGTTAGGCCACGAGTTTCCCCAGCGCGGTGAGGGGTTAGACCGCACCGACCCCCAGTGTGGCGAGGGGCCAGGCCACGACGGACCCCAGCGCGGTGAGGGGTTAGACCGCAACAGACCCCTGCGTGGCGAGGGGTTAGGCCACCACGGAGCACCCCGGCGCGGCGAGGGGCCAGACGGCAGCAGGCCCCAGCGCGGCGAGGGGTTAGGCCACGGAGGGCCCCTGCGCGGCGAGGGGTTAGGCCGCAACGCGCCCCAGCGTGGCGAGGGGGTAGGCCACAGCTCTGCGCCAGGCAAGGCGGTCGTGAAGGCCCATGAGTCCAGGGACCAGCAGCCAGGGCGGTCCCTGGAAGAGCGCAGAGCGGAGGAGCGGCTGCGGCCGTCCATCAGGCTGCTCCTCAAGCTCTGAGAGGGCGGCGGCAGCACATCTTCAGACTGCCGCTGCTCACGGGGCGACTCCATGAGTCATAGAGTGGCGGCAGTACGACGCCGTGAGATGAGGCCGCTGGCCCACCCCGCCTCGGGTCGTTCTGCCTGCGCGGGGTGCCGAGACCAGGGGCGCCCATTCACGGGCGGGAGCACGCGGGTTTAAAACTCCTCCGCCTCTTCCTCCCCCTCCTTTACTTCCCTGCGCACGTGCCTACCTGCGACCCCTCGAGCACCGCCCAGAAGGCTGCAGTTAACGCATAGCACCGTCTGCCCTTAGCTTTGATGTGACCGTAGGTGTGGCACTCTTACGCGTTGTGTCGAGGTGTTTCTCCTCGTCTTCGTCGCCGTCTTCCTCGTTTCCTCTTCTCCCCCCCTCCTCTCGCGATGCCTCCTGGAGGCCGCTTGGGGACTCGGACCTCAAACGGCGCCTTGGAGCTCCCTCAGGGTGGGCTGGGGGTTCCTTGGAGCTTTGTAAGGCGCTAAGTTATTGGACCGTCTTGCGCGTTCCGAGTGGCTGTCTTGAGGGTCGTTTTGGCCGTTTAAGGGACCTCTAGGGTCATATTGGGGCGTTCCTACCCCCCTGGGCCGCGTTGAAGTCCCCGTGGAGGCCTTTCAGACGATCTTCGCGGCGACTTGTGCCATTGTGGGCTGAGGCCAGCCTGAAGGGGTTGAGAACGCTGTTTCACAGTCTATTGGATGATCACACCGTGCAAAAGGGGCCCCAAACAGCAACGCTGCATGAGGACACTCCTTGGTGAGTCAACATCAGGGGGGGGGGGGGGGGGGGGGTGCTTGGCGTGGGTGGTCTGCTGATTGCGGTCTTACGGCTGGCCAGTGCCGCCGACCCTGCAGGGAGATGACGACGACAACGGCGGCGGCGACGACGACGATGCTGACGTGGGCCAAAGTCCTCAGGATGCTTCTTGGGGTGTCTTCGGAAGGCGCTCGGGGTCCTTTTGGGGGGAAGGGGGAGGGGGTGCGTGCTTGGCGTGGGTGGTCGGCGGATTCTTCGCACTCTAGGATTCAGGCACGGCGCGGGCAAGGCACGGCACATTCTTCGCATTCTGGGTCTAGAGCACGGCGCGTTCACGGCACAATTTGCGGGGACGGCACGACACGGCACCTGTTTTTTTCACAGCCTAGGTTTCGGAAGCGTGGTCCTTAAATGCAGCCCTTGGCTCCCCCTCCTCTCCCTCCTCTTCTCCTCCTCCTCTTGCCCCTCCTCTTGCCCCTCCTCCCGTAGCCATTTTGGCTCAAGATGGCGACCTGGGGGGCTGTCCAGCCTCCAGGCCGAAGGGAGACCTCTGGACCGAGGACAGTTCCCAGACGGGCGTCGGGCGCGCGCGCGGCACTGCTGCAGCCATGGGGAGTGGCGGCGGCGGACGCGGGGCGGGCAGCGCCTGGTCGGGGACCCCGAATCGCCAGAGAGTGCCCCCGTGGAAGAGGAGCAGCAGTGGCAGTCGCCCTCCTCGCAGCAGCTACGTGGTGTGTGACGGGTGCAGCAGATGGCGCTACTGCAAGAATATCACCAGCAGGGGCGACCTCTGCATCTGCGGCAAGAATCTCGCCTGCCTCGTCCCTGACGGACATGTTTTCCGTGACGAGGATGGTGGGTGGGTGGCAGCACAGCCCCAAGGAGGAACCTCGCCCAGGATCAGTTGGGCAGATGGTTGGCAGCCAGGAGGTGGCGCAGGCGGGAAAGGGCAAGGAGGCCAACGCCAGCCACCACCTCACGACAAGACCGCCGATCTCAAGGCCGCAGCCGCAGCAGCATACAGCAAGCTCAGCAAGGACGACCCGCTCAGGCAGCACTACGAGGCCCT